CTGATTTTTATAAACAGTATAGATTGTGAACCATTTACAGATACATAAATTGTATATATTTCTGAATAAATTGTCGTTGTTTGATATTCAATATCCAATATCTTGTCCTGTGGACGTTACTATAACCTCACAAAGTGATAAGAATCTGATTTTAATATGTAACATGATTCTCAGTTATATTATTATTTGATACTTTCTAATTTTTACAAATAACAATATCCTAGTCATTGTTTTATGTTATTCAGCCAAAATGACAGATCACGTGAACCTAATCCAAGTTCTAGTTTCACGGAAAAGACTGATTGTCCCAATTACGTTTTATTTAGCAAAAACTATTTCCGAATGGCTCTTTAATGTTAGACTTGTGAACGGATCAAATTCAAGAGAAGGAAGAGTTGAAGTTTATTATAATGGTGAATGGGGAACTGTATGTGATGATAGATGGGATGAAAATGATGCCTCAGTTGTATGTCGACACTTGGGTTACAATATGTAAGTCGAGAAAGACCTAGTGGATGTTTCTCATATGAAGATTATTCTTCTTTTTTAGATATTCTGTATTAAACAGGTACACTTACAAATTATACATGTTACATTATAAAATGAAATGTGACTTAGTGATACGTATATATCATACAAACATAAATATAGGTAGAGTTTCAAATATAACAAACTATAGATCCCGTATATTTTAATATATAAAAACACGTTGTTTAAGAAGTATAGTGACAGCTTGTATATTTTTCCATTTTTCAGTGTAAACTTTTGAATCAGGGAATGTGTTTAATTCTAAGTTCTTTATTTTATTTAAATATCTACAAAAAGTCAAGTTTACTAGGGTTAATACTTGAAAGTTTACATTTGTAAATATAATATTTTGCCAAATATTACATGAAATGGTTTGCATTGCAAAGAGCCACTGTGGATTAGTTTTAAATTTCGATTTGTCCACAATTCCAAAATGCAAATATTCTGGAGATAATCTAATTTTAATTTCACTTATGTATAAAATTTCATTTAATTTACCTAATACACATGGAACATAAGGACAAAGAAAAAAAGATGTTCAATCGTTTCAGGACAGGAGTTACAGAATGTACAAAGTGAGCATTCTGTTAATTTACATTTCAACAGTTTTTAATTGGTGTATTTTACTCTATGTAAATACTTATAATGACAATTTCGTAGCTTTGAATTAGAGAAAACGGTTAAGTTCATTGTAAATCTTTGACATATTTGTAATCGATTTGTTTTTTCTGGGAGATTTTGCCACTTTTCAATAGACTTAGGAGTTAAACATTCACGTTTTATCAAGTTTTCATATACATACTTAGGTTTAATTATATCTAATGCTTTACTATATATTTTCTTTATCAAGTTGTCAATACCATCTAATACATTTTGAAAAATGATAGACATTTAGAAATAAATTAAATCGATCATATTCAAACCGCTATTTTTATACGCCCCCATTTCACGTGGGCGTATATTGCCGTCACCCACGTCCGTCCGTCCACAATTGCTTGTCAACACAGGCGTGTGTGCGTAATCATCCAAGGATGAACCCTATTGAAAATCATAAGAATCGAAAAATATTTAGTATGAGTTATTGCCCTTGTTCTTGAAAACGCTTTCAATTTTTTGCTCGTAAACACTCTGGAAGGCACAACTCTTGACAGATTTGGACGAAACTTGACATGAGTGTTTGTTATCCACAAAGGATAAACCCTTTTGAAAATAACAAAAATCGATAAATATATAGTATGAGTTATTGATCTTGCTCTTGAAAACGGGTTCAATTTTTATATAAGTAAAACACTATTATAGATATACTACTCTTTAATTTAAGCAACGTTTCAATTCGCATACAGGAATCTTTTTCAAGCAATGAAATGAATCATTTCCTGTATGCAATTGAAACGTTGCTTAAATTAAAGAGGAGTAGCATATCCATACTAGTGTTTTATTTATATAATTAAGTATATATTATGTATAAAAAATGTACATACATTAATGTAACCTCCAGGTCACAGACAAACGCCATACCGAAAACAAGAGCTACATTTGGTAAAGGAACCGGGAAAATATGGTTAGATGACGTGGGTTGTAATGGAACAGAATTACATCTAGGTAGATGTCAACATCCTGGTCTTGGTAATGAAAACTGTGGTCATAATGAAGATGCTGGAGTGATATGTGAAGGTATGATGATATAGAATTATTTAAACGTTTTAACAAGTATGAATGGAAATTACCTTGCCTTATCTTACAATAATGAGTTCGTAATAGACCTAATGATGAGATGTTTTCAATCTTTGTCATAATCCTATAATAATCAGGACAACGAACTACATCGTCAACGAACTGGTCACACTTTATATCTCATAGTTTTCTAACACATAGTTAATATAGTGGGCATCTGCAATATGCTTTTAAGTAATTCTTAAATTCAATTAAATTTGATAAGCCAATATAATATCTGTAATGTCGATTTTCATGTTATATTGTATTGTATTCACATATTGTTGTTGTGAGAGGTTAGTTGCGAATCCTATCAACCCGTCCTGAAGCATTTAGTCGCTTTTTTCTATTCAGCAACTAGTATATTTCACGTCCACTTAGTCGGTAGGTTAACTGGATTTTTAACCATTCTCATTCAGAAGCGTATGGTCGTTTAGCCTTCGGTGTGAAAGACGTCGTCGATTTGATATGGCTTTTGTTTGTGTGTGTTTTGGGTTTTTGAGGTTCTTGGTGGGGGTTAAATATGTATGGTTTTGTTATTAATGTCTTTACTATTGGGATGAGCAACAGACACCCATTTATATTTATACAATTTGATAGCTTTTATTTATTATTCTACAACGCTGAATAAAAATATGCTAGTCATTCTGTAAAATTCACAAACCAAGTGAACCGGATTCAAGTTTAGAAAAGATTACCGAATATTCCATTATAATATATTTAGCAACAACTTTTAATGTGAGACTTGTGAACGGATCAAATTCAAGAGAAGGAAGAGTTGAAGTTTATTATAATGGTGAATGGGGAACTGTATGTGATGATGGTTGGGATGAAAATGATGCCTCAGTTGTATGTCAACAATTAGGTTATAATATGTAAGTCGAGACAGATATAGTGCATAATTTCCATATGGAATTTTTTTGTTAGAATCAAATTACAAGGAACATGTATTACAACAAGGTTACTTATGCTTCGTACAAACAGGGAAACAAAGTTACTCGAGTTGATCAAAGGAGACATCAAATGTTTTGTCTATCTTTTGACATTGGCTTGTTTTAATGGTTAAGGTTAATGTTTTCGAATAATAAAACAATTTAACCACGAGATAACAAAATTGAGCAGACAAGACAGTCTCTTATCTGTACTCGCTCACTGATATTTATATAAGCAGCCATTTTATATATATATTTGTATTAATTTACTTAAATTTATCTTACTCCAGGTCAGAGACAAACGCTATACCTAAAACAAAAGCCTTCTTTGGTCAAGGAACAGGGAAAATATGGTTAGATAACGTGGGTTGTACAGGAACCGAATCAACTCTAGGTAGATGTAAACATCCTGGTCTTGGTAATGAAAACTGTGGTCATAATGAAGATGCTGGAGTGATATGTGAAGGTCTGATGATATAG